GGTCATCTTCACCCTGAGGAGGCAAGTGGGCTTCTACATGATGGGCGTCTACGCCCCAACCCTGCTCATCGTGGTTCTCTCCTGGCTTTCCTTCTGGATCAACCCCGATGCCAGTGCTGCCAGAGTGCCCCTCGGTAAAGTGTCTCTCTTGGGGAGTCAGGAGCATGCTTGTGTCTTTACAGAAGTGACTACATAATTTTGAATTCATACTAAATCATTTGGAAACAGTGAGTCTTGGAATTGTTTGTAGCCTTTTCCCCAGACTTCCTCCAATCCTTGACATTGAACTAGATTTTCTCTGTGTTTATGCATTCTATAATTAAACCAAGTTTTCTCTTTTTGTGTTCTTGGGGTATTTTAAGCAGTTAATCCATCCTAAATTGATGCTCATGAAATAATTATTAATAAGCGATTTTAATGGATAATGGAAGCCTACAATCTCCAGTGGTGCCAAGCTTAAAAAAAAATGACTATTTGGGTAGAAATCTTTCTAAATCATTTTATATACTATCTCATACTTTCATCAGGGAATGTGTAATAACATTCATCATTTTAAAAATGACTTGGCATCATTTTCCTGAACACTAATTATTGTGTGTGCACCATCAGGAGAGCTAGACAGAATAGGATCTGGTGATCCTATAGATATATATCAAGCCTATTTGTTATTTTTAATGCTCTGTAACATAGAAACACCATTAGCCAGAATTGGAAATTATATCTGTATTAAGGATTAAATAGTCTTTGGTTGGGAAAATAATTGAGAGCCTTTCTTCTGGGTAAAGTGAATAAACTTCAAAATAAGTGCATCGTGACAACATTTTGATTGCTTGGAGAGTTTTAAAATTTTTCATTCATGTGTAAGTGTGTGTGTTTTCTGAACATCACATGGAACTTACATAGGTAAGTCTGTGAAATATCTGACCTCTCAGCAACCTGATTAGTTCCAGCGGTTTTTTTTTTTTTTTCTATCATCAAGAATGCCTTGTGCAAGCCTTCCTCCTGACTTACTGGAGGAATTAAATGAAATACAGATATTAAAGAATAGGAAATTAGGAAAGAGCCAATGAAAATGACAGTTTTATCCAGATAAGAAATTTGGTGATTTTTCTCTAATAAAAACCACAGAGACCAGATCTATATCTTAATAAGCAAAAAAAAAAAAAAGTGAGAAATTTCGTCCTAAGAATTGTATATCTCTAATGAAGACAATACAATTGATAGATTAATACTGTAGGAAAGTAGAATTAACTTTGTAGGTATTGTACTGGGACTAAAACACCTCAAAACTTGATTTAAAGTCTTGTGCTTGTCAAAAATATCATGCTTTTCCCTTAAATCGCTGAATATTCTGTTTATTAGAATTATCTTACTCTCATGCAGTGGTATAAATTGAAATATCAGCCTTCCAAGGATGATCTGGAGACATCCCAATCTCTGACTTGTTTTTGGAGGAAACTCTCTGTAAACCCTCATCACTTATAGGACTTCTGATTATAAAATTCTTAAGCTATCACTTAGCATCCAGCAGACCCACTATTTGGAAAGAAGTTAATGGTTAAATATTAATCTCTGGAATCAAACCAGGTCTGAATTCCAGCTCTGTGCCTACTAGTTGAAACAACTAGCCATCAGATCTAGCCTCTATGAACATACTCTTGGATGTCAACAGGGATGGAAAAGTACTGCAAGGACTTTTGAAAGTTTGGGGAAAAAAAAGTGAGTGTTAAGTCCATTCATGAATTCATAATGTGCCTCATTTACACATTACTTTACAGTTTACAAAGCACTTAGACACATTCTAGTTTATTCAACAGATACCATGGAGTACTGACTATGGGCTAGGTACTATGCAAAATGATAGGGATGTGGTTAAAGAGTAAGTGGTGAATAAATAGTTTATAAAATAGATTTTAAAAAGCCCAACTCAGCCTTACTGAATTTATGCTCTCTTGGGAAGAAACAGACACCAAATAAGTACAACATATAATATGTAAGATGGAGACACAGGATGGAAAGTTGAGGGCAGCAGCCTGCTTGTGGAGAACTGCCTCAATGAGAAAGTGATGTTGAGAAGAGCAGGAAGGAGGGGAGTGAATGGACCACTGTGGATTTCTAGGAAGAGAGTGTGATTGGTCAGCGATCAGGGCAGCATCCTTGAGGCAGAAGCCTGCCTAGGATGCTAAGGAGTCCAGTGAGAGAAGGGGGAATCAGTATATGAGGTCAGAAAATTAACAGTGGTGAGAGATGGGCTATGGAATACTTCTTAAGTAATTCTGGTGACTTTGGCTTTTATTCAGACTGAAATCTGAAGGCCCTGAGGGCTTTTGAGTATGATCTGATTGAAACTGTAACTGTTTCTCTTTACTGCTTTGTTTAGAATAGTCTGAAAGGCAGCAAAGGCAGCAAAAATAGAAGCAAGGAAAGCAGGTAGGAAGCCTGAAATAATCACTGGTGTGATCCAGGGAGTGTTAGTGGAGGTACTTATGAATATTAGATGATGGATGTGGCAGAGAGAGATTTGTAGATGTGTTGCATGTGGGATTTAAGGAAGTAGGATAAACTTAAGAGATGAAATTGCCATTAACAAAGGTGAGTAAAGCTTCAGGCAGAGTAGTTTTGAGAAAGCGGGGAGGTTCTGGATGCACTGAGTTTGAGATGTCTGTTAGGTGGAGATAGCAGGTAGGCAGTAGGCTGTACAAGTCTAGGGTGTCTTGGAGAAAAAAAAATTGGAGATCTGAATTTGAGATTTCTCAGGATTTAGATGGTATTTAGAGGGGTGAGTGGAATGGAGGTAGCGGAGTCTCAGGGCTAAATCCTTGAGATTGAGAAGATGAGGAACAACCCGTGTGATGTGGTTTCCTAGAATCCTGCCAAGTGGATAATTATGTGTTTTCAGGGAAGGAGAGTGACCAGTCAGTGCCTGTAGATCAAGGCCAGGGCTAAAGATTGCCCTTAACTTTAGCAGCCTGGGGAGTCAGTGGCATGCAGGACAAAGAGTGTCCGTGGAGTAAGGAGAAGGAGAAAGCCTGGTGGGAGTGACTTCCGGAGAGCACAGGAAGGGGAGAGATGCCCTCTGGAGATGGGCAGTGTGAATAACTCGTTGGACACCGTTAGGTGCCAAAAGTAAAATAGGATGGGTAAATAGTAAGGGTGGGAATGGGAGTCGAGAAGCGTTCTTGGCTTTGTTTTTTTTAAGGCAGACTATCAGCACATGGTTATTTTTGGTGGAAAATAATCAGTAGGAAAGGAAAAATTAGCAATGGAAGAAGTTCAGCAGTAGTGAGGGAAGATGAGTGGTAGGGAGAGGCAAGACTGGCCTTTGCTAGATTAAAGTCAATTTTTCCCTGGGGTCAGCAAACTCCTTCTGTAACAGACTGGAGAGTAAACATGTTAGGTTTCTGTTGAGACCCCCAAATCTTCTGTCATAGTGCTAAAGCAGCCTTTGACAATACGTAGCTGAAGAAATGAGGATGTATCCCAATAAAACTTGATTCATAGAAATAGGTGGTGAGTTACATTTGCCCTGTGCATTGAGATGACTGACCATGGTCTGTAGGGTCAGGAGAGAAGGCAGAGCAAGTGGGCACAGAGAACGTGGACAAATGTGGTCGTGGGGCTTGTCATTGAGTTTGATCTCTTAATAAAATAGTAAAAAAGATCATGAGTCTCAAGTGTGGTAGGAGATAGTGTTGTGGGTTTGAAGGGCTCTAGAGAGAAAGTAGTGAAAGAACAGAGGAAATACATACTGACTGCCTGGTAGGATCCTGGACCCCTTGAGGTCAATGATCATAAATTTAAAGTGGGATCAGTCAACATGTTAGCAGTGTATGTCATGGCTGGGCTTGCCTGTTCGCTCAGACGGTAAAGAATCCACCTGCATTGCAGGAGACCTGGGTTTGATCCCTGGGTCAGGAAGATCCCCTGGAGAAGGAAATGGCTACTTACTTCAGTATTCTTGCCTGGAAAATCCTATGGATAGAGGAGCTGGCCGGCTGCAGTCCATGGGGTCACAAAGAGTCAGACACGACTAAGCTACTAAACGCACATGTCATGGCTACAGTCTGGTAATCATGTACTTAACTTCTCCACCTGGTGGGAGTTTCGGTATCTACATGACGGCTCACAAGATATGACTCAGAATATCATCTATAGCTTTTGTCCGAGGTAAGGAGCAGCGGCTGCGCTTTGCTGGAGCAGCCATGAAGAGAGACCCCGCGTCCAAGGTAAGAGAAACCCAGGTAAGACAGTAGGCACTGAGAGAGGGGGTTGGGGGACAGACAGACTGAAACTATAGTCACAGACAACTAGCCAATCTGATCACGTGGACCACAGCCTTGTCTAACTCAATGAAACTAAGCCATGCCATAAGGGGCCACCCAAGACAGACGGGTCATGGTGGAGAAGTCTGACAGATTGTGGTCCACTGGAGAAGGGAATGGCAAACAACTTCAGTATTCTGGCCTTAAGAACCCCATAAACAGTATGAAAAGACAAAAAGATAGGACACTGAAAGATGAACTTCCCAGGTCAGTAGGTGCCCAAAATGCTACTGGAGATCCGTGGAGAAATAACTCCAGAAAGAATGAAGGAATGGAGCCAAAGCAAAAACAACACCCAGTTGTGAATGAGACTAGGCATAGAAGCAAGATTTGATGTTGTAAAGAGCAATATTGCATAGGAACCTGGAATGTTAGGTCCATGAATCAAGGCAAATTGGAAGTGTTCAAACAGGAGATGACAAGAGTGAACATCGACATTCTATGAATTAGTGAACTAAGATGGACTGGAATGGATGAATTTAACTCAGATGACCAATATATCTACTACTGTGGGCAGGAATCCCTTAGAAGAAATGGAGTAGCCATCATAGTCAACAAAGAGTCTGAAATGCAGTACTTGGATGTAATCTCAAAAACGACAGCATGATCTCTGTTCATTTCCAAGGCAAACCACTCAATATCATGGTAACTCAAGTCTATGCCCTGACCAGTAATGCTGAAGAAGCTGAAGTTGAACAGTTCTATGAAGACCTACAAGACCTTCTAGAACTAACACCCAAGAAAGATGTCCTTTTCATTATAGGGGACTGGAATGTAAAAGTAGGAAGTCAAGAAACAGCTGGAGTAACAGG